TGGCCTATTTTTAATTCTGAATATTATGCAATAGTATTCTATATTATGCTCAGAAATAATTAAATTATAATATTGATTGTTCTACCTGCAATCAGTAAAATGATAACAATGATGCATTAAATTTTCAAACACAGTAAAGTATACCATAATAATTGTGTGCATACCAGTCACCTGGAATTAAAGTGTCATTCAATCATATTTACTTCTGATTTGTACTATCTTAAGAAACTAAAGATCTCTTAGGATCTCTTTTATCCTTTCATTTTCCTTAGGAGCAATCATTGACACTATCTGTAAGCAAAGTTTGTACATGTGAGTATACACGTATACTTTTAAAATGTACATAAATAGCATGCTAAAGACACTCTTATTCCTGAAATTTGGAGGTGTCTGCTAAAGTTCAAAGTACAAATTTCAGCATCTAGCACTTAGGCTTCTAGGTGTATGTATTAGAGATCCTTATAACATGAACACCAGAAAGCATTTAGAAGGACGTGCATTTCAGCATGGTTTGTAATAGCAGAAAACTAAAACAATTTAAGTATCTACCAATACATGAAAAAATAAGGGAGGATGCAGAGATTGCAGTGTGGTAAAAATAAAATAATCCTATCCCCCTTTCTACTTGTTTTAGATCACCAACCCTATAAGAACATAATAGGTGCTTAGTTTTTAGCTACTGAGTAAATTATTAATACTTTGTAAATAAATACATATAAAGTAGCTTAGTTATGATCACTCCATTTTGTAAGACCTAGCACAGATAGTTGTAATCACTATTCAGCTCTTATAAATCACCAGCACAATGAAGAATATACTCTTTACCCTTTCATCTTTCTTTTTCTCTGTCCTTCTTAAGCTGTCTCTCTCCTTTTCATTTCCTTTGCTTTTCTAATTGCCTCAATTCTAGAGGTAACTCTTGATATTTTCAACTCTTTTTTTTTTTTTCTTTTTTGTTTTTACTGGGGATCGAACTCACGACTGCCTGCTTGCAAGCAGGTACTTATGCCGCTGAGCTAAATCCCCAGCCCCAATATTTTCAACTCTTGAACTACAAGATTTGTAATTTTAAAAAGAAAAGAATCATGATATCAACAAAATCGTTTGTGTAAGTAGTAATACCACTAATAAAAGGAGATATTTTTTACAGGTTACTAAAATTTACCTAAAAACCTTTAATGCATGTTAGGACTATTACATATTTATATATCTTGTGTTTACTATGTAAATATTTACTATATAAATGTTTGCTATGATTACTGTGCTATATAAATATTTAACATGACAGAAATTTGTTGTACATTTTGCATTTTCACCAAATGTAGATTGTCATATATGAATGTGGTTACCAAATCCTAATACAGGTAGTATAGGTATGGAGAAGAGACTGCATACTGGGCTTATCATTTAGGCTTCCTAAAGTGAAAGCATCAGAAACATAGGCCGGATCTGGATAGGTCTCTCAACCACTGAAAGTGACTTATGTCTAGCTCATCCTGAACTATGTGTGACAATGCTTCAGAACAGACAGGAAATTTATTGCCTTATCAAGGAAACTATAGCCTGTTTTACACAGTTTGTATAAATGAGAAAAATACAGTGTTCCCTGTACTTCTTTTCATTATTTAATTAGATATTGGTTGTACACATGGAAAATATGGAAGAATTTAGATACTGGTTAATTTCTTTTACTCTAAACTTTGACTAAGAATTACAAACAGAAGTATTTTACATGCTGTAAGTTGTATGTAAAACATGAACAATATCAAATTTAGTGCATACTGATGATTATAGTTAGCAATTGCTTGAAGTAAATAAAATTTTAATTGTTTGAAGGATAGCAGAGTGATAGTAAAGCATAGAGAAGACATTTCTTTTAGTAAGCTCTAGCATTTTAACACTGTTTAATGTGCTACAAATGAGTAAGTCAAGATACTTGACCTTAAGAAATTCATTTCAACCCCCAGTACAAAAAAAAAGAATTGAACCGGGGGTTTAGCTCAGTGGCATAAGCACCTGCCTGGCAAGTGCAGGGTCATTAGTTCGATTCCTGGTATGAAAAGAAAAGATTCAGTCTCATGGGAGGAAAAAAAAAATATATATATATATATATATATATATACATATATATATGTGTGTGTATGTATATATCCGTATATCTCATAGATAATATAGGACGGTGGGGGGTAGCATCTGAGTCTTTAAGATGAGTATGTTCAGCAAGTCAAATAGGTGAAAACAATATTCTAGGCCAGTGGAGGTGAACCTATGACATGTGTGCCATAGTAGGCTGTTATCAGTGAAAGCTCTAAAAGGTTTGGCATCACTCCTCTAGGCAGAGGAAATGATGTTAATGCAGCTTGAGAGAAGAACTTCACATAGTTACATAAGAAATACAAGATTTGAGATGAGTTGAAGACTAACTACAAAAATAAGCAGGATGAATAAACTGGAGCATGATACTTTAGCAATTTTTATAACTTACTCTCTTTTATTTTTTTTAAACTGGAGATCGAACTCATGACCACGTGCTTACAAGGCAGGCGCTTATGCCACTGAACTAAATCCCCAGCCAAAAAATGGTTTGACAGCTGTGGGGTTTTTTTCATTTTTGTTTTTTTGTGTGTGTGTGCCAGGGATTGAACCCATGACCTCGCGTTTGTCAAGCAGGTATTTACACCGTTGAACTAAACCCCCAGCCTCACTTTAGCAATTTTTAAAAATACTACACTCCAGATTCTTCACCTCTCCAGTTTCCCCTTTTAACCTTCTGATCTAGACACTCTAATCACTATTGAATTTGTTTTATTTCTTCAAAATTTAACAAATATTTGTTGAATATTTGTTGTGCACCCGGCACTATCCTAAGCACATGGAAGATATATCAGTGAATAAAGTAGACATGATCCCTGCCTTTACGCAGCTTACAGTCTGCACCTAACACTGGTAACATGTAGGCAACTATATACACCCTGCCTAAATGTTAAATAATGCGGTGAATGTTGCTAGCATAAGAACATCAGCTTAGGTCCAAGTGTATCCTGAATGACTGAACAATGAGGAAGATTTGGTGAGAATTAGAATTAAGACCATGAAGGTCAGAAGGAATGGCAGTAAAGAGCTTCTAGAAAGACCAAGTGAATGTGTGAAATGCCAGAGATAAGAAGAAACAGCACTTTCTCAACAGGCTTCCCTGCCCTATCCTTTTAACCCATTGTAGTCCATTCTTTGCACAGCAGACTGACCTTTTTAAAAAATTAAAATGTGGGCCGGGGATTTAGCTCAGTGGCATAAGTGCCTGCCTGGCAAGTACAAGGTTGTGAGTTTAATCCCTGGTACCAAAAACAAAAAACAAAAATGTCAGTCTTTTGCTCAGAACCCTTCAGTGACTTCCAGTTTCCCTGAAAATAAAATTCAAAGTTTCCACCATGTCCAGATTGCCCTATTTGATTCTTCTTACAGTATGTCTGATGTCATCACACTCTTACCCTGATTTATACTACTCCAGTCACTGTAATCTCTTTGCTGTCCTCCAGCATTCCACACGTGGTTCCATACTGAGTATTGATAGTCATATGCCATGATTCATAGTCTTTGCACAAACTGTTCTTTTTAGAAGCCTTTTCCGACATGTCTGGTTGGTTGGTAACTCTCAGCTTGTTCAGGACTCTTCTTCAATCAGAGAGTCCTACATTGATAACATTTAATAAAGCAGCAGACTTGTCAGTTCCACCTTCACTATGTTATCTGTTTACTGCACATTATTTTTCTGAGTAGCATTATCGTAATTAGAGGCTATAGTGTTGTATGAATTATCTCACTGATCCTAAGCACCATGAGAATACTTTATATGATTGTTTTTAGTGCTGCTTTTCTAAATGCTTAAAATAATGCCTCATCTATAGTTGTAAGCACTCATATTATTACTAATTCTACATAGGTTATGGATAGGATATTTTATTTTTTCCACTATATATTCATGGGTTTCTTAAAGTGTTACATGAATTAACATGATTAAAATAAAGCCCAGTTTTTGACCCAGTTAAATTTTAACGTATTTTTAAACATATTTTCTTACTTGTACCCTTTTACTGTTTTTTTCTCTTTAAATAAAATTTTAAAAAACATACTTTCTTGTAACAAAATTTTCAATTTTTGAGTTAATAGTGAAGACATAGTATTATGTAGTGCTGGGTTATAAATTCATAGTTGTTTTTCATCCTGAAGCATGTCAGGTTAATAATGTGTAAATCACTGTAGTTTTATATAAACCCAACATTATAATAGTATTAAAATAACTTCATTTTAAATACAAATACTTAAGAGCAGCTATATAACAGGTTATTTTTTCCTAAAGTTATGTCATTATAAGTAATTTCACCAAGTCAAAGGCATAGCTGCAATATATTAAATCGGCAAAGATTAAATGATTGGACATTTCAACAATTTAAAATGATGCAATTTTACACAAAATTCTAGAAAATATATTGGTTAAAAAGTTAGCACTTTGCCTAAAGTATATGTGCCATATATTGTTAGTGCTAGCCAAATACTAGTCATTCAGTTATTTTACTCATCATCACATTTCTATGGTTTTGTACAATTTGCATCTCCTCTACTTACTCAAGCATAATCTGTGCAACCTTGAGTGGAAAACAATCTTGGATGAATAGTTTATGGCTCTTCACTATTGAACAATGGAAGAGGTGACCCACAGTTGATTCTAAAACAGATTTTATATTTTATAGTCTTACTAAGTTTCTTCAAGTCATCTGGCATTCCCAGCTCTCACTCCCCGATCTTGTTTTCCTATGTAGTGCCTTCCCAGTCATGTCCTGTTATTAAAATCATTTATAATGAATAGATAATGGCCACATATCAAATACAAGTGTTAATTCTTAGATCATAAACTAGTAGATAAGTAAAATATGAAATGGTAAAAATGTAAGGGATGCCTATTTGTTACAAATATAAAGTTTTTTCTCTTGCAAAAATTATAGGGGATGGAGTGTTAGATCTCTCTACAAAGAAAACCAGCATAAAATCTGAAGAGTCATCCATATGTGATCCTTCTTCTGAAAATTCAATGGCTGGGTAAGCAATATCTAGGAAATATAAGTTAATATTAATATGAAATTATCTCTACAGAGAACTCTGCTATTCTGCATAGTAACAACAAATGTAGTTTTCCTCCTAAATTTTTTCACTCATAGTGTGTCTCTCTCATACCTTTCATTTGTCCTTTCTCTTTCTGTTTTATTCTTTCTGTTAAAGAAAAGTTATCAGAACAATCACCAAACTTTAGTTCTTGTTACTAAAATGAACTACCAACTTAATCATAGAATACAAACTAAGAAGCAGGACGAGTAAGAGAATTTTAACTATTCAGGTAGAGATTTTAAGGGAGCTATGTAATCTAAACACTTAATTTTTAAAATCAGCGAACAGATTCTAAAAGTACTGTACTTACTAATTCTTAAAGCTAGTTTTCATTGTACTTAGATGTGGTGGCAAACAATTTAATATATCTAGTAATCACCACAAAGCCCTTTGATATTTTGAAAAGCAATCATTAAATTAATTTAAATAAATAATTACTAGTGAAATGCTGTTCTGTTGAATTTTTGGATTTTTTTTTTGTGACTTTTACATCTTCCCATTAACTACATACAAAGCTTTTTTGTCATATTTAAATCTGACTTGTAGAGCATAACTTGATCAAGAAAGGCTTCAGTAGGATTTGAGTTACAAAGTACAGTAAGCTTTCTGTCTGGAAACTGAAAATTACAGTGATGCTTCCAAAACAGAAATAACTTTTATATTATCTAAAGTGAAATTATTGTGTTCAAATACAGTCCATTTCAGATTTTAAGTTTTTTTCTAGAGGAAAATTAGTTTTGTGGAAATGTGGGATGTTTGTGTTTGGAAATATTCTTGCTGCTACAAATTTCCTTTAAATGGGTTGACTCTTTTATTACTTGTTTAGCGGTAACGTCACGTTTCTACTAACAAAAACTCCTTTAGGATTTGGGTATTTTTTTTATAATGGAACTCTAAATGTACAAATAAAAATTATAAGTGTTGCTCTGCAAGCATCTTTCAGAGGAATTAGCATCATGAGAATATTTTTACAAATACTGAGTTAGGATTTTATGTTCTTGGAAGGTCTGCCCGTTGAGGCCACCGTACCATTGACACGATTGTCCTACCAGGACTGTAGCATTTGCTTTGATAAGGAGTAACTACTACATCTCACAGACTTAAAAGTGTCATAAGCAGTGATGTTACCTAAGCAAGGAGTATAATAAAGGAGTGGACCCTCCCCTTCCATAGCTGTGTGAGAGTCTCTCATGCATCAGTTTACCATCGTTTCATTCCATCCATCCAGGAGACTACACAGAAACAGAGAGGACTATGTGGAAAGAAGTGCTGAGTTTGCAGATGGTTTGCTCTCAAAAGCTTTGAAAGACATTCAGTCTGGAGCACTGGACATAAATAAAGCAGGCATACTTTATGGCATACCTCAAAAAACTTTACTTCTCCACTTAGAAGCCTTACCAGCAGGGAAGCCTGCATCTTTTAAAAACAAAACTCGAGATTTCAATGATAGTTACTCATATAAAGACAGTAAAGAAACTTGTGCAGTACTACAAAAAGTAGCCTTGTGGGCAAGAGCTCAAGCAGAGCGCACAGAAAAAAGTAAACTCAATCTACTTGAAACCTCAGAATTAAAATTCCCAACAGCTTCCAGTTACCTCCATCAGTTAACTCTACAGAAAATGGTTACTCAATTTAAAGAAAAAAATGAAAGCCTTCAATATGAAACTTCAAATCCTACTGTACAGTTAAAAATTCCTCAACTACGTGTAAGTTCTGTTTCAAAATCACATCCTGATGGTTCTGGTCTGCTGGACGTTATGTATCAAGTTTCCAAAACCTCTTCAGTCCTAGAAGGATCAGCTCTCCAAAAACTGAAAAATATACTCCCGAAACAGAACAAGATAGAATATTCTGGGCCTGTAACTCATTCAAGTGTTGACTCATACTTTCTACATGGGGACCTCTCTCCTTTGTGTCTTAATTCTAAAAATGGAACAGTTGATGCAGCCTCTGAAAATACTGAAGATGGATTGGATCGAAAAGATAATAAGCAGCCCAGGAAAAAACGTGGCCGCTATCGGCAGTATGATCATGAAATAATGGAAGAGGCTATTGCAATGGTAATGAGTGGAAAAATGAGTGTTTCCAAAGCACAAGGAATTTATGGGGTACCTCACAGCACTTTAGAATACAAGGTGAAAGAAAGATCTGGAACACTGAAGACTCCTCCGAAGAAGAAACTCCGATTACCAGACACTGGGTTATATAATATGACAGATTCAGGGACTGGCAGCTGCAAGAACAGTAGCAAGCCTGTGTAGATTATTTGTTAGGGAAATGCGCGCGTGTGTGTGTGTGTATGTGTGTGTGTGCGCGCGCGCACGTGCGCTTTTGTGTGTATGTACACAAGTGTGTGTTTGTGTGTCTACATACACACGTGTGGGAATTACAGACGCTCACCTTGACAGGAGACATGAAATTTTACAGTTCAAAAACCACTTACATGCCTTTTAAAAAAAGTTTTATTCAGGGTTTTCACTGTGGACAGAATTATATAGTTGCTTACTTAATTCTGGTAGTTTGTATTTAATCCTTGTATAAATAGGTGAAAAGATTCAGGTTTTCTTTAGTAGTCAATAGCATAAAGCGTGGGAAAACAAGTACTTGTAAAGTGAAACATTTTTATTGGTGAAAAAACATTCTAGCCATTCAGTGGAACCATCTTATAATGGAAATATGACATTAATAGTTTATAAACATTTTACATAACATACTTATTAGAAGTATGTCAAAGAACCAATCAAAGTTTAAATAGCTATCTCCTTACTAAGAAAAATTAATATATACAGTATTAATACACTACAGTACATTCTATGAAATACAAAATGCACTCAAGTGCATATACCAGGAATAGAAAAGAAAACCTTAAAGGATATGTATAATGAAATTTAATATTTATCATTTAATAGTTGATTTAGCGTAAAGTTGGGGTTTATAAGGTTTATGCTTTTAAAAAAAAACTGACACAGTTAATTAACCCCAGCAGCTATAGAATCTTTAAATATAAGATGGAATACTAAGAATAAAAAGTAATTTAAATTTAATTATTAAAATAATTTAATTTTGCTTTTCATTTGAAAAATAAGCTAATGTGTAAGGTTAGAAAAGAAAGTTGGAATGCAACTTAGAGCATGTTTATAATGTGCACAGAAAAAGTTTGAGAATGATAATTTTGGTTTAAATGTGCTGGTTAGTTGATGTTATGACTACTTTAAATTTTAAGGATTGTGACACACTCCTACTATTGAAAAACCTCAGTGTAACTTTAATATTTGCTGCTGTGACATTTCAAAACATTTTCAGTTTATCAAAATGAATTACAGATTTCATTTTGGTGGGCGATACATTATCATTTTGCTAATAACCAAATTTGCAGTTCGTTCAGGGTCTTGAATAGATTTACAGATGAAGCTGATTTACTGAAGCTGTTTTGAACTTTCAGTAATGTAAACTCTCTAATTGGGTAGTTAGAAGCTGGGCAGTGCATTTTAACTTTTACTAGACTCATAAGAGAGACCAGTAATTTTTATATAGCAGTTTTAAAATATGGGTCAGAGTATTCATGTTGAATTTGAGTATGCAGTTTTAGTGGTAAAATGTTCTAAAGCACGTGCCTCCATATAAACAATGGGGGTTTGCTTTATATATTCAGAATTCTCCCAGTGCCCCCTTTTCTCTGTTAAAATTCAGGTTCTAATCATTTTTCTAATCCAGTTTTTCTATGCCCAAAAGAAATTCTTACGGCTGAAATTGAGAAATAAGTGCACCTTGTCAAATACTTGTGTTTCTACACTTGTGTTTGTATGTATTTAATGATCATATATACATGTAATAGTAAAAAGATTTTCAGCTATTTAAAAACTGCTTACATGTAGTTAAAGAAATTAAACAGTGAGAATATACAAAACCAAGCTTTTATTTGATCTCTAAGATCTGTACTGAAAATTTTTCAGCTGTTAAAAGTTAATCTGCATACTAGGGTATGAATTCTCTAGCTCCCCCCATCCCCAATAAAATATACATAATAGATTACAAAACAGCAGATGTCAGGGTCATCTTTCTTTTTAAAGAATTAAGCCATATTTTGTGAGGGCCAGAACTTGGATTATTTAATATATTTCCCCCTCCCCCATTGAAAAACAAAGTTAATGTTTCAAAACAATTGTATTGACCTCTTTATACAGAATTTTACTTGCAAAATTTTGGGGGCTCGAACACATTACATAATATTTATATTGTATTGAGCTTTTTTATTCCTCACACTATATTTACATTAATAAATTGATTGAGAAGTTTATAGTAAAGGGAAACTTACAGAACACTTTTATATCATTTAAAAGATGACCTGACCAAAAACTTTACAGGATTCATAAATCAGGGATCATTTTGCTATTGACTTCACAGTGATCAGTAGTTTTATAGGTAATATTATAGTTAATTTGCAGCATTTTAGTACTTGTATTATTTATTTTTGGTCAGAAATAGTAAATTAAAAATATTTTTTGATAGTTTATAAGTAATGATCAACCCATAACTTTTAAAAGAAACAAAATGTTTCTATTATTGAGTTAACTTTTTGATTACACAAACTAGGAAAGGCAGGGAAATTTATGGGTTCCCCTTCTCCCCCATGGTTCTATTAAGATATTCTTTATGTTAAACTTTCAAAGTACTTTATAAATTTAGTTACCAGTTACTATTTAATTGAGAATTTTCTGAAAAATCCCATTTCAGCAGACTTTTAATGAAGGTGAAAGCAACCCTTGTGTGCTTTCCACTTATTTGAATGTTCCTCGAATATTTTATATTTAAAATAAAAAAGGAAAAGAAAAAACAGTGCCTCTGTTTTTAGAAAACTACTGCTCAGTAAAGTTGTTTAAAACCATTTCTGGTAGCTAATGACAATTTTATATTAAATTGTATACTAACTTTAGTGAGACTGATTTTTTTTAGTTGTTTACAGTACAAATACCTGTATTTGTTTTTTAATTGCAGTATTTCCATTGTCGCAGTAATTTAGTAAAACTCTGTGGCTGCCTTGATTTTGACAGATTTTGTTAATATAAACTGATTGTTAGGCAATTAGTTATATTTATGCATAAATCAATTGCACTATAATTCATGAATTATTTATTACAATATTTTCTAATGAATTCATGTATCTGTCTTGTGTTGTAAATGTACTGTAATTCTGTTTCTACTTTGTGTTGTTAAATATCTAAATCTGATTGTATGAATTTAATTGTTCAGTTAATGTGTTTCTAGGTTGTAATTTGTAGTAAAGCACTTCAATGCTTTTGCACTTAAATTTACAACACTGTTGGTGTGTGATTGATTTACTCATTCAGTAAAAGATAAAAAAAGAAAAGAGAAGAACCTGACTACACTGACTTCTTTGATTTCCTGTAGGAAGTTTGATTAAAATTAGTATTAAAAATTATTTCTGAAGAAATATTTCAACAAACTTCTAATGGAAAAAAATGAATAGTAACTTCCAAAAAATAGCCAGAATGTTTCGGTTTATAAATGAAGCAAAAGGGTTAGTAAAAATTTAACATCTATAACAAACACGAGATGTATAAAAAGTATAATTTTAAGATCTTTAATCTCTTGATAATTAGACTGGAGACATGTTTTCAGTTTACATGTGTATTAGGTTTTTCTTTGAGACTTTGGCATGCAAGAAGTAAGGTAAAGGAAGACTCAAAGCCAAACAAGTATATCATAGAGTTCTCAAATTTGAAAACTTAGTTCTCTACCCTGATACAGAAATAATCTAATACCTGAATACAAAACTGGTACCTTAAGTTGTTCTTCACATAACATTAGATGAGATCACTGGCCACTGTGATATTTTTGCAACTCCATCAATAAATGTAATAAATTTAAGTATAAATTTCCTTGGAAATTTGTCAGAAAAGGGATAGAAAAATCAGTGTTTTTCATCAGTGTTGATCAAATGGAAGTTACATAAATTTTTTTCAGATTATTTGACACAAGTTGCTTATTTCCATTTTAATAGGCTCATTTACTTTTGTTGTTGGAGACAGAACAGAGTGTCAAGTATGCACAATTACCACTGAGCTATATCCTCTGCCTCTGATTTTTTCTACTTTATCCCTGACTTTATTAACAGAAAAAATGCCTTTGAGCATTTTAGGAACTGTGATGAAAGAGTATAAATCTTTAAAATACATTGTAACATTTTTCCAAGAAACATAAATTTTCATTAATTATTAGTAAGCAAATATGTTCAATAGACCATAATATTACTTTTAAATCTGCCTAAGTGTGTCTGTCTAATATTTTGGATTTTCTTTTGCTTATGTAAAAATTTAATCTGCTGGAAAAAGAGTGTATTTTAATGTTTGATACTTATCATTTCCTCTTGCCTTTGTTTAGTCTGTAGTTTGGTTATTTTTGTTGTTGCTTTTTTTAACTTTGTGATCTGAATTCTGTGAGTCAGTACTACCATTTTACATTCCCCACTGTTGCAAAATTTACAGAAAGGAAAGCATATTGAGGTCATGTGTTTCATCTCTCTAGAGGTGGCAGTGAATTTAATATTCTGATTTCACCTCACTTTGATAGACTTTTAATGTCACATCACATGCTACTTTTACTGAAATACTGGTAAAAAGTAGTAAAGTTGTGTTTTTAAGAAGAGTTTTGATCAGATATTCAAAATTCATTTTGGTATTTTTACTAAACCAATTTTTTATAAAAAGTGAAATATTGAGCATTAACTGTGAAATAAGTTATAATAATTTCAGGGAGCAAAATAAAAATTCTCCATTTTGTTTTAAAAGAAAAATCCTGTAATTTTTAATAATACACAAGCATAAATTCAGTTTCAATTCATAATCAATATAGCCCACTTCCAGTCTTAAATAAAATTTCCACAAACAGGAACTAATTAACAATAAATGTGGTAATTCATAAGTGAAAGGCTATTTTCATGTACAGAGTTTGGTGATATGTTTAATTAAAACAGATACTTTTCTGAAACAGAATTCTTTTAATATATTTTATTCTTCTTGCTGCTGATATCAAATTAAAATTTTTCTGTAGACTATTGTATGGTGAATACAATCCTGAGTCTTAGATATACATTAGTTTCTGCAGTGGGGCTTTTTCCAGCATTTGAAATTTAATAATTAGGTAAGTAATATCTGCAGTTTCCCTATAATTACTTTAGTATTTAAAATCAATCAAAAATAAATTTAATGTTTAAATAGCTTCCGTTTCTTTATTTTCATCTTAGGTAAAAATGCCTGCAGCTTAATCTCAAAAAAGATACTCTATTATTTTTATGAAATCTAAATTCTTTAATTTTCCTTGTCACTACACAGAGCTTTCTTTATTAATAATTTCATTTTGCTATTTAAAAATACTTAAAAGATTTTACTCCTATATTTTATTTCCTTATTTGGACTAACATGAACTAATAGTTTTTAAAGTAAATAAAATACCTACTTTACAAAAATTTTAACTCCTTCTGAAGCATTTTCCACCAAACATTAACTTAATATGTCCAAAACACCAAATACTGTCCGTTTGTAAATATAATCAATCCTCTGTCATTATTGCAGCTCTGTAGGAGTCAGGAGTCCAGCATTATCAAAATGTCTTGTGTTCAGACACTGTCAAAATTATAACCCCGTATCATGCTATTTTTGCTGTAATTCATTTTTTGTTTGATTTTTATTTTTAGTTCAACTGTTGATGCAAAATCAGAGGAAGCTACTAAAATGGAAAAAGGAAAATCAGCATTAAGCAAAGTTTTGGAGTCTTTGTGCATACATCACCAGCAACAAGTTTTGGCTATGTTGAAATTTCTAGTCCAGGAGCAGAATGCTACTTCTCTTTGCTGTTGTAATGCTTCATGTGCTGTGTCTTCAGACTCTCAAAAGCCCCTGTTTGAAGATGATATACATGTTCTATTCTGTAGTTGTGAATATAGACTGGCAGAAAGAGGGTGTTTAGAAAATGAAAAACAAAGTACTGTTTTAGTGCCTCTGCCAGTCTGTATTAAAGAATTACTTTGTTTGTCTTGCCATTCTGTAACTATTGAACACATTAAGACAGTAATGAATAGAGGGATTGCAAACTGTTATAATTCTCATAGGTGCTCTTCTCAACTGTTACCAAACATTGACTCTACAAAATCACCCTTTCCGAGTCCGCTTTTGTCAGGGGAAGTATGTGCTCTTTCAATGAGTCTTAATGATGTTTGTAGATCTCGCAGTCCCTCACCCCCTCCGTTGTCACCTGTACAGACTGAAGGATTTGAAAAATTGAAAGATGTCATCTCAGAGTTTTCAACCTTAGAAAATAACACATTTGAAACAACTACTAACCAGCCTCCATCTCTAACACCAGCAGAAATAAGCAGCAATTATAGTGATGAAGACGACAAAATACATAAAACTGAAAAGTCCAGTAACTCTGATGCTTTGCTGTCAGATGCCAGTAGTAATTGTACTACAACTCATGAAAAAGGTGAAGCTACTGTGATTTTTCAAGATTTAATGGATCGCATTAATGAAAAATTAAAATCAATAGAAACCACAGACATGGCAAACCTTGTAAAATTATCTAGCAATGATTATACCGCAGCTAATGATTTTAAATTGGGAGATTTAATAACATCTCTCCTGCATAACGCAAAGGCCAGTGATTATAGTTTTATGGAATTACTGAGTCAGCATGATAAAAAGATAGAAAATAAAATTATTCAGACAAGATTTCAAAAGCGTCAACAAACCTTATTTGCACTGCATAACTCTCCTGATTCACCTGTGATTAGAAGGCAGTCCTTGCAGATAAAAAGAGAACTAGCTAGTTTTGATGAAAATTTTGTAAGAAAAAAATACTCTGAAAAAAACTCAAGGAAATTGGTGCGTAATGATGCATTATTTTCATCAGATCAGGAAGAATTTCCTCATTGCCAGGAACCATCTTTACAGAGTTCTAAAAGCTTTCAAGATAAAAATCATGCAGAAACATTTTCACCAAATTACGCATTACAATCATTGCAACTACCTTTGAATAGTTTAGAAACTAACTTGGCTTTTAATGAATTTCCAGAAAACTTGAAAACAACTTCTCCTGAGAAAATGAACATAAAATTTCAAGGGAAATTGGCAGCTGGAATAAAAAATTTGAAAGATAATAGGGACAATCCAAAATTAGAGGAAATTCAAACCCCTTTGAGAAATAACGTTCCTGGACTTTTGAGTAGAACTAAACGAAATATTGTACCTCCAGGATGGTATTCTGTATATGTGACAAATAATTGTGCTTTTAAAAAATCACCTAAAGCAAAAAGAGTATCTCAATCCACACAAAATAAAGAGCCAGTGAAAAATGCTCGAAGTGAAAGCCCACAGAATATAGACCTAAACAAAATTGCAATGAATTCTAAGCTTCAAGTTGTTGTGGAGCGTTTGGAAGACACAATACATAAGACCAAAACATCTTGGAATAATCAGCCAATACCAGAAGGGTATAAAGCATCCAATAAGTTGGTAGAAATTGATGGGAAATATGAAACCACTGAGAGAAATATGAGTCTCACTTTAAGTAGAATAAATAAAGAGCAAGGCTTATTAAAATCTGAGGCCAAACCAAGCGGCATTACCAAAAATCCTTTGATGCCTACTACGGATTCAAATAACAAAAGACTTGATAATTTGAAAAAGTCATCTATTTTAGAGTCAGGTAGTTTAATTGCCAGTGTTGAAAGTGTACCAACAAAATACAGAAGTAGTGACAGCTCTTTTTCTAACTATTCTAGTCCTGTCAAACTTATGTTTTTATCTGAGATTAAAAACAGTGAAGGAATCAAGTATACTTTAACTTCAGTTGGTACTTCTCAACCAAATGTTGGTCATCCTTCTGAAAAAAGTGCAACCCATCGTGTAACTGGAAAAAAAAGAGAAACAAATGGTACTCCAAATGCCAACTCTGAAAGTTACAGTTTTAATCATGATACTGACACATTTCATGGAGAACTGAACAAATTTACCTGTGCAAAAGAAACTGTGGAATCTTCCACATTGTTTACAGATGATTTGAATAATGATAAGCCACAAGAACCTCTGGAAAATTCAAGCAATGCTGTTGACTCATCTTTTAAAAGAAAACCAGGAAGACCTAAAAAATTAGGCCCTCAAGTTGTGAAGCAGATTAAACGACCAATTGGAAGACCACCAAAACGTAAAACTGATCAAGCAGACCTCTCCATTTGCCAAAATGAGTCCTTTTGTGCTGGAAAGAAAAACCGAGACATTCTTATATCAGAAGCAAAAGAAGGTGTTTATAAGAGAAGTATTATAGTGACTGTGATTTTCGGAAGATCAAGAAGAACTAAAAGGCATGTATCTGAAGGAAATGTAAACAGTAATATTACATCTTTAAACAATGTTGCTGATTTTTCAGCTGAATATAGTGGTCTCAGAAGCCTTAGAGAATATGAAATTGACTCAGATCAAAGAATAAATACAGAGTCTAGCTTGACCACTGAATGTGAGAGCTTGAGATCTAGCTTTGACTATGTTAGACCTGTCAGGAACAAGTCTGTGATACTTCAGCCTTCCAAGAACATTACACAACCAAATCAGAAGCCTTCAGCAATAATTAGAAAGCCTGGTAGACCTGCAAAAGTGAAAATATCTGGCATATCTGTGACTATTAATAAAATTTCTCCTCAGGAAAGAGAAGTAAGTATTAGCAGCTGTTTACCTCCTTTAGAACAGGAAAATACATTAGAAAAAACTCTCTCTGAAGAAAAGTATGATCAACAATGCAGTAAGGTGGATAAAACAAGGCACACTGAAGCTGATATTTTAAAAAATGGATCAAAAAGTATGGTTGCTACTGTACCTTTGAGACATTCTGTCAGGGACAGAAAACGATCTCTACACTTCTTACATTCATTAACGTCTTCTAGTTCACTTATTTATAGGAATTCTCTGCTTCATAAATCATACAAGTTGCATTTGAGAAAAGGCAAAAGCCTAAAGAAAAAATATAGGCAGTCAAGAATAGCTTCCAAAGATACCTCAGGTCCTACCCATCCAACGAACACAAAAAAGTGTTTGGAAGATAACAAATTAAAACCCATTTCTGAAGTATCTTTGGACCCTATAATATCATCAAACCCTTTGCTTAGATGGTGGGCTACTTCTGCTTCAAAAGATTCCTTATTAGAGGAATTAAACAATAGATTTGAGCAAATAACAAATGCTTGGGTGAAAGTGAGTGGAGATGAAGCTGAGAATTTTGATCATAAAAAATACATTGAAAATGATAATTTTAAAATAGAAAACCCTTTGGAAACTTGTCTTTTGGAACTTGAAGTTTCACCTGTTAAAATGCTTTTTCAAAAAAAGTATGATTTGAATGAACTTTGTACCTGGTTTATGCAAACAACAGAAACACAGTCTCTCTCACTAGTTAGAAAAGCAAATGCTCGAAACCCTTTGGAAGTAATAAATACCAAGGGAATTAAGTTAGGGGCCAAGTATTGTGATTTTAGTACCAGCCCATTCAGAAAGCACTTTAAAAAATTTGCACTCTCTTCTCCTTCGAAATCAGCAGGGAAATTGCACATACTGCATAAAATGGTTAGCTCTCCACTCTTAAATGTGAAAAGTAATTTAACACTAGCTAGGTTGAAAAGGACTGAGTTTAAGAGGTTGCACCATGAAAGATGGAGAAGAGAGGGAAAACTACACAACCATGGAAGAGTTGATTTGAACTCCAAAAGGAGGAATTTAAGGTGTTTCTGCCAGAACCAATTTTTAAGTAAGACTGAAGGGGAAGCAAATGCTGATATTCCACTCCATGGAAAAACCACAGGAGGTAACAATTGTACTTTCCCACCTGCGATCAAGGGTGACTTTTTTCAAGACAGGGTGGCAGTACCTGACTTCAAAACACATAGTAGTGTAGAAAATAAATTTAAGTCAGAAGTGAAGGAGAACGGAATAAATTGCAGCCAAAAAGATTTTGAAAAGGGACCAAAACTAGGAAATGTATATCCAAATAACTGGAGGTCAAAAACCTTAAAAGACTGTAGAATATTTTTGAGGAAGATCAACTATCTTGAACACAGAAATACTTTTAAGCTAAATACAATCATTTACTCTCCTGAATCTGTTGACAGTGGAAGTAATCTTCATACACATATAGAAGGATCAAAGTATCTTACTTTAAGATCTCATTCTGCTAGGCAAAATTCTCTTGAAAAGCAAACTAAAGAAATAGAAAATGGTAGATCAAATAATGCTTCAACCATTAAATTTTCTGATCAACTTGGCGGTAATAAGCTAAGCAAATGTGTAAACTTTGACAAGAATCCTTCTGATAGTTCTGAAGTTCTTAACAAACTGAACAAAAGAAAAAGACCACCATGGAAGACCACAGAATTGTCAACAAAAAGACATAAACGGCAGTCTTGCAACAGTGGACAAATGGCAAACTATTTTTCAAAATCCCAACTAGGTAAGTTTTTCTCTAATTAATTTTAAAGTTTCATTGTAGGTGCCTTGAGTAAAGAATAAGCAAATAGAAAAGAAACAACTGGTTAAGTTTTATTTCTAAAATATGATTTCTTGGCACCTAGTATGAAACTCGTGAACTTAGGTGCTGCTAAACGTACCAGTGCACTCCCCCTTCCCCACAATGTGTCTAGAATTTCAAGCACATTAAAAATATGTTTAGTAAAGGCATAGAAAGTTTTTAAAATATGTATCATTAATATGTTATATTATCTACTCTTACATTAACAGATTAATATAAAATCAAAAGACAGTTGGATAAATATGACTGTGTAACTACAAATTTACCATATTACATGCTAATACATATTTATTCTCTTGATAAATGATAACTGTGAGGCCATGCAAGAAAGAGTAAGGGCTTTCTCACTGATAAGGGCCATACCATTACAATCATAAGGAATCAGTCTCCCATTCACCATCATGATGTTATGCCATTTGGTACTGTACTGAACCTACTTGAAGACCTTGCTTATTTGAAAAGTGGTGTAATGATGTTTTTTCCAATAAATCAGCAAATTTGAGTTTTTTTCCTATCAGACATTGAGCTCATTTCCACAAATAGATAAAAATTCTTTTTCATAGCCTAGCAAAACAAAGAGTCACATATGTGTTATTGAAAGAGCAATGCTAAATTGAAAATGCACATAAGCATTTTATGTGCTTCATTCAGTTACACTGATGTGACATTGCAAAGAAACTGTTACAGTTTGGAATCTAGCAAAAATATGATACAGACATTCTGAGTCCCAGGATAGCCCTTTACATTTCTGCTTATTAATGGGTGCTAGACAATACAGGATTTTTAGGAGTGTGAGAGGGCTTCCTGACTACTTCTGATGAAAGAGTGCCAGGTTGCATTTGGAAACTTAAGAATATTTTATCATATGGCTGCATTGTTACATTGTAATCTTTGGGGTGTCCTTTGAGAAGTAATGGGTTTGGTTTTGTTACATTTTAAAAAGGATGTGTAGGAGCTAAAATCAATACCAGTTCTCATATTAAAAACTTAAATGCAATAATTAAATTCTAGAGCTTTAAAAGGTCACTGATTTTTTATGGCCCCTAAAATTCAATTGCTTAACTGAATAACTTTAAAATACCTATTTCAGTAATAACTAGCTTATAATGATTAAAATTTTAAATATTAAAGATTAAAAATTTAAAGACAGAGTAGAATCTTCTTATAAAATATGAATCAAACCTAAAAGGAATTATCTTTGTTTTTTGGTCCTCAATACAGCTCAACAAATACTGTGTTAGGAAAAGAAGGTAGAAAAATCCTGATAATGATTTTTTTTTATTTATAACTTACCTTAAAAATATGTATGTGTTTTATGAAGAGTAAAAGTAAAGTTTCCTTCAATTCTTTATATCATGCTCATTTCATGTGCTTATAGTTTATCAAAGAAAATTTGCATTAATTCATTGTACAACAGAACCGTATTTTAAACGTAAAATTTATTTTACTGTCTCTTCACTCCCACTTAATATGAAATCATCCTAGAAACGTTAAAAGGAGGCTAATTATTACTTTTTCAAATTTTAAAATCATGTTTGGGTATTTAAAGAAATTTTAGTTGCATATGAAGAATGTTTTTTATCTTTGTCATTTTAAAAATTACTAGTGCTACTTCCTGCTCTGCTTAAAATTTTATTTATCTTTTACTGATAACTTTCCTTCTTTATTTTTAACATTGTTTTTTATCAACAGACATTATTTTTATAAAGTTGTTTTTATGGCAGTATTTGTTATATTTATCTGATTTTTAAGTGTTTCCTTATGGTGTCATGTTTTTTTCATTATTCTTAGTATTCCATACTTCTTTTTACCCTTTTGAAATGACACTAAAATTCATTATTAGTTTCATATGTGTTTTTCTTCATAGAATAATTAGGACTGAAGACACAGTAATTTTCCAGTAAAAGTGCCTATGACAGTGTACTTACGAATTTTGAAATATTGCTACTGGTGAAAAGTTTTATTTCTACCATGAATGTTTTGTAAATTTGATACTACAGTGTACATTTATATACATGGATATAGTGTAAACATTTTTAATTTTCTATTTAATTAAATTTGTACTGCTCTGTATCAAGTGTAAAGATGGAAAGGAGGAAGAAAAATGCAATTTCATCTTATTATTAATTCAACAAATATTTAATGAATTCCTGCAACGTCCTGTTGGTCACTGTGGAAGAGTCAGAAAGTTCCCTTTCCCTCTAAGTGAGAAAAGAAGACCTATGACATGTATTTATTCAATAAATACAGTATATTTTATGTCTTACGCAGGATATCGTGTACTGTAAGGGAACACAGTGGTTCAAGCTATGGTTTTTATCCTTACAGAGCTTACCATCTCATGGGGAATAGAACAGGAATCCCAGTAGAAGAATGAGTGTCATAATGAGAGGGACGTGAATTGTGGTTACATAGGAAAAATGAATTCAGATTTAGGGAATTAGGCAAAGTTTCCTACATTGTCATAAATAAGCCAAGAGTTAAAGGGTGCTCAGATATTGGAAGCTGGTAGAAGAGTTTCAGGCAGAGCTAGCTGCATAGTAGAAAGTGTGGGTGATGAGAGAGTAAACTTGGCGCACTGAGTGGTTTATAAAAACTGATATGTAAAATAGGATTCATGGGTTAGCAGTGTTGGTGGTAGAAAATGGTAAAAGATAAAGCTACTGAGGAAAGTGTGGCCCAAATTATAGCAACATCTGTTGATGAAAAAGGTTTTAAGCCCTAGTTTTAAGAATAATGAATAGAAAGATGTGTTAATTAAAATCAGTATCTTGGAGGGTAGAAAAATGAAAGATAACATCCAGGTTTTACCTTGAATGTCTGGGAACATCAACATTGCTGAGATACAAGAGAACATTCTGAGAAGATTCAGTTCTAGTCATAAGGGATTGGAGATGTCTACTAGGGTATATAAAAAGGACATTTACTGTGCAGTTAGGCAATTTAGGTCTCTTGCTAAGGAACGAGGCTTGAGCTGAGGTGCAGACTGAGGAGTTGGCAAATAACTGATGTCATAAGACTGGGACATAGTATTTAGTGTATGACTGAAAAATCCTAGAATCTCAGAGCCCCAAAGATACAAGGAAAAGAAAAGGTGAGCACTGGAAAACTGATGAGTGGTCAAGAGGTCAAAGAAGAAACCTTGGAGAGAGTGCTGCAGGGAAATATTTCAGCAAGGGAGGACAGGGCTGGGTGTGCGGCTCAGAAGGAGAGCGCTTGTGTAGCACCATGCACGGGCCTTGGGTTGTATCCCCAGCATGGGGGAAGAGTGTAGATTGTTGCTAAGAAAGTAATGAAAATAAGCCCTGAAATAGTTTCACTGAATTTAAAATGAGGTTGTTTTCATGATTTGAGAGAAAGCAACTCTAGTGGACAGTAGAGCCCGAGTCTAGTTCAGTGATAAGTGAGTACTGGAGGAAGAAGAAAGGAAAAAAATTAGCACAGAAAACTATAAATGGCTAAAAGATGAAGAGATAGAAAAATAGTTAAGCGTACATTGGAATTTAAGGTAGATTTACAGAAATGTTTAGATGTCAGTGGAAAGCAGCCCTAAAGAGTAAAAGGTGAATGTACAAAACAGATGTCCAGCAGTGGATAAGAGTACAGCCTCTGAGTAGATTCCCAGGTTTAGGATCTGGAGCATTACGAGATTGGTCTTGGCCCAAAGATTCACTTTTCTCCTAACATGAGAGTGATGCAAATAATAAATGGCAATGCAAATCAATAATTAACAGAAAACAGAGGTAGTGGGGCTCATTTTCTGTGAATTAAGAGGTGATCTTAGAGTGATATAGTAGAATTGGGTACCGGGTAATGTGTATTAGGTTTGAAATACTTATCTCAGAAAATACAGGATAGATTAGCGGTGTGACTTTATCTCAGGATGTAAACTACTAGGTTTAATAGTATTTGGTTTCACCATGTGGTTATAGAAAGACAGAGATCAAAAACAAGAATGTATCCTTAATTTTGTGAATAGTAAGAAGCTGTACGTACGGTCAGAGTTGAGCTTTAGATAATCTTTCCTAGTGCTACTACAAAAAGCAGATTTGGCAGTAGTGTGTGTGAAGAAATTGAGATAATATTGGCCTAAAATGGAGTGTGAATGCTGAAAGTAATATAGACTTTTAAATACTGTATCAGTACTTTTTGAGTTCCCAGAGCAATTAAACGCCCGATTAATATCTGGAGATAAACTGATCTAAACACTATGAGGAAATTTTTAAGATTAATCAAATATAGACTTAAAGCACTGTTGATTAACAGTGCTTATCCTAAAATACTAAATTTTCTCATAAATGCACACAATTCTGTTGACACTTTAAAGTCAGATTCTAAATATGTCAGCTTCTCCTCTTTTGTATTCTGTCCTCAAAAATGACGGAGTATCCATTATTTTCTATTCAGAATTCTGGCTTTTCACACAGGTTTATAACTGATGGGTGATTTTTCTTGACTACCTGACCACATATCCTCCTTGTTCCTTCTTATGAACATTTTGCCACACTTTCTGAACACTGAACACAAGATGTTCTCTTAAATTTCTATGGCTGAAGCAGCCTGTCGCACAGAATGTTCTCAGACATCATTGAAATTTAGAGTTCCTTAATGTGTTTTATTCAACATAATTATAGTTTAACGAGGAAACTGAAGCACAGAGATGATATTCTAAATTTAATTTTGGTAGAAAAACATTTCCCGATGATTCACAGTCATTTAATCTAGAGTGCTACACAAACACTCCAGAGAGGGCTCCTAAGGAGTACTTGCCGTCCGCCCTGCCCCGCCCTATGCTGGGTCTGCACAGGCTCTGAAACCAGTTCTGTGTCCTGCTCTTACGGAGTCACAGTGGCCCAGTGGCATGTTAAATTGTATTTCCCAGACCTTTTGTGTAGCACATAGAACGGTTTCGGTAACATAATTAGAAACTCTGCTTTGTATAATTGCCTGCTAGAGTTTCTTTATATTTATTGTGCTATCTCCAGAAAAAAAATAATGACTGTAAAAGTTTAATTTATATACTAAATTTGATCCTGTTATATAAATTAAGGAATTCAAAATTATAAGGGCTTTGTTAACATTCCCCATTAACATAACCTGTTAACCCAAAAATTATCATTCTGATCACTGTTTTATTTTTGCTTATTAGAGTTTTTCATATTAAGAAAGAGTGAGCTATGTTAGCCATCAGTTCTGGAATCTTACCATCTGCAGTACAAACCATGAGAAAGCATTCAACTATGGGTATGGGACAGTGTAAGATCAATGTCTTCTCAAGTTTATATTCTTAGTCTTAATTTGGTCAGAAGTAGGTGAATGAAAGATATTTAAATGTAAAAATTTATTCATTGACATATTCCTTTCTATATGGGCCTCATACTGCCAATTTGCTAGTGCCAGTGTCATAAATAAAATTAAAAGTATTCTAATGAAATTACGTATTTTAATTAAAGCCTGCTTTATTACTGAATTTTTTATTCCAGTTTTTTTAGGAACTGAGTAAAAGTTTTGTTTTGAAGAATTTGTAACTTTTGCCAAAACTTTTAAAATATAAAACTACTTTGATAGTCTTTGTTCTTGATGTATTTTTCTTAGAATTTTTCTTGAATATGCCATATCCCATTGCATTGTCAGTCATTGCTGAGTTTCAGGGTATTCTGTTTTGCTAATTTCATAGACAATCCATTCAGTTTATTCAACAAATACGATTTTATTGTATTAAGAAACACAAGAAGCTTCAAAAACATTACTTCAAGTTGTTTTTACTTTGGCAACATAACTTGAAAGATAATTTGATTTTTTCCACCATACTAGCGACTATAAAAAACAGAATTATTTTCAAATGTAGAATTAATGTGAATTGAATGATCTGGCTCATGGCCTGTTTTGTAAATAAAGTTTTATTTGAGCACTGCAGTGCTCGTTCATATGCATAGTCTATTGTTATATTTGTACTGTAGAAGCTAAATCCTATAGCTGCAACAGAGGCCATAAAGTTTATAAAATCTAAAATATTTACTATGTAGCTCTTTGCAAAAAAAAGTTTGCTATCCAGTGTACATATCAGATCAATTTTTATTTGATATGGCTAGAAAAATTTATTGGCTGTTTAAAAATAGATTAAGATCATTCTAGCCTGCTTATCCTCATGCCTGATCTGCTGTCTGTCCCAATACAAGAGCTGTCTTCCATGTCATTTTGTTTTGTTACTATGGAACAGTAATTTTTATCCAGTAGAGTGGTGCTGGAAGCCTTAAGTGTGAGATTTATTCCATTTTGTAAATCTTTATTCTCTCCCTGCAGCCTCCAAATCTGCTTTTTCTGTCTGAGGTAAGTTCAAGGGTTGTCTTCTCTTCATTAGCTAGCTGCTGCTACCTGTTGGAAATTGATTTCATTACTTTACACCTGCCTTAAGGTCTTTCTTTGTTTTTTCTTTGATTTTCTTTGTTCTCTTTGTTTGTGTATTTGTTTATTTCATTGTTTGAAATAGGGTGTCGCAGGTGTAATTTATCCTCCTGCCTCAGCCTCCCAAGTAGATGAAACTACCGGCACATGTTAACACACTGGTCTCCTTTTCTGTCTCCTCACTTAAGAATTAAAAATTCCTAGTTCAGCTCTCCTGCTTACTATTTCTTTCCTAGACAATAAACAGTTTTCCTCATTGTGGATCTGAGTATTCTGTGGTTATCAAAACATTAGTGAATTTACCTGTAGGCTAATTACCAATAAAAAAGAGGAAGGGTAGGTGTCTAAATGATTTCATCTTGTCTTTTTTTTTTTCATTTCTTTTCTTTTTATTTTAAACTGAAGCTTGGCTTTTTTTCCCCTTGCCCCCAGTTCTAGGCAACCTGGAAAATTCATGTTTCTTACTTAGTTTCTGTGATCTACAAAGAAAACTAAATTTTAAAATGCTGTATCTCTGCATTCTGTTGATGTATGCTTTCAGCAGTGTTTGCTTCCTGTGTATGAGGCATTGTGTTGAACACATGGAAAGGGGTGGATGTGATTACTGCCCTGGTGGTTTACTTGGAGAGACAGACATGGAGTAATTAATTCCACAAATCTAGTATGTTCTCAATTGATATTTGATGTTCTGAGAATTTATTATAGGGACATTTTGATCAAGTTAGGAAAGTGAAGAAAGACTTCTTTAGAGAAACACCCATCAAGCTGAGCTGTAAAGAGTAAAAGGGAATTAACTAGACAAAGTGGCAGAGAGCCAGTAGGATAGCAATGACTTACCAGGAGAAGCCAACTACATATGAAAAAATGCTGAAGTGTGATCTTGGCAGGTTAGAGAGGTGATACCTGGCCTGTGTGTATAAAATCAAGATATAAAGAAGTGACAACAAACACAGTGAGAACCAGGGGGAAGTAAAGGAACATAGCAGGTAGCCTTTACCAGTAATGCCGAGAAGCGTGTGTGCTGTCAGTGCACTTCTACTGCACTCAAAAGAGTGGAACTGGAAGTGATTAAGGATGATCCCCTGCATCTTCAGATTGTTCTAAAGGATCTCTAATTGTGGCAGATAAATGAATGGGCAAGACTGAAGGCATAGGCCTAGTGGCCTCGATGAGAACTGCTGTACTTTCTTAGAGTAGCTCACAAACTGCATTGTGCATCAGAACCCCCAGAATGGCCTGTTCCAGGAGGTCCTCTAGGTCCTCACCTAGAGTTTGACTTCCGTAGGTGTGGGGGGACCCGAGTGTTACCTAAGCTGCTGCTACAGGGACCACACCTTGAGAACCGGTGTATAAAGTGTGGTAGCAGATTAATTCTTTACAAGTGTTAGTATAATGTTTCCCTCTCAACACTAGGTATATTTCACAAGTTTTGCTCTGCTATGTTTTCGTTTGTATTAAATTTAAAATATTATTTCTCTTGCAACTTCTGATTTAACCTATGGATTATTTGGAGTTGTGTTAATTTCAAAATATCTGATCATTTCCCAGATAGCTTTCTGTTACTGGTTTCTGACTTAATTGTGGTTATAAAATACACATTATATGAATTGTCTTTTTTTAACTGGCTAAGATTTATTTTATATCCCAGAATCTATCTGAATCTTAATGAATGTTCTTTGTTTTCCTCAAAATGATGTGCTGGCTGCAGCTGTGCAGTGAGGCGTCCGGTGAGGAGCCGGGAGCTCAGTGTGGTCAGTGACGCTGAAGTCTGTCTTGGTGCTGGGTTTCAGTGTGCTTTCATCTGTGCATGAAAGAAGCACTTCCAAATCTACAGCTGTGACTGGTTTTTTCTGTTTATCCTTTCACTTCTGTCACATGTAACTGACATATATTTTGAAACTTTCTCATTGGGCACATACCTAATTACAACTCTTATGTATTTTTTTTAACAAGTTTTGTTTTTGTTTTTGTTTTTTTGTCTTTTTCCTTTTTATCGGTACCGGGGATGGAACTCACGACTGCCTGCTTGCAAGGCAGGCGCTTATGCTGCTGAGCTAAATCTCCAGCCCCCTCTTATGTATTTTTAATGAATTGATTTCTTTTTTATTGTGAAACAAACTTCTTTGTCCCTGGAAAAGTGCCTTACTCTGAAATCTTACTTTATCTGATACTATGATAGTTATTCCAGTTTTTCACTAGTGTTACAATGATGTAACTTTTCTGATAACTTTATTTTTAACCAGATTTTACCTTTATATTTAAAAGGAGTTTCTTTTGAGTAGCATATAACTGAGGCTGGCTTTTTATCTAGTCTAATAATCTTGGCTTTTACTAAATCACTTATTTAATACTATTTATGCAGGTCTATTTAAGTCAGCCAATGTGGTTATATTTAAATCAGTCTTTTCCATTTTCTGTGTATCCTATTTTTTGCCTCCTTTTTCTCTTTTACTGCCTTCCTTTGGAGTATATTTTACTATTCTGCTTAGTTTCTTAATTTGCTTTCCAAAAAACAGTTTTTTTTATGAGGTTTACACTGCACACCATTAGTTGTCAGGATCCACCTCCACGTAATGCTGTGCCACTTCATGCATGGCTTAAAGACTTTTAATACTGAACATTTCTGTCTCATTTCTCCAAAGCTTTGTGCTGTTGTCACACATTTCATCTACTGTAATTATAAACCCTTGTTGCTATTTGTGGTTTACACAGCGGATTAGTTCAAGTTCTGATGCTATAAGGCCATACTAGAAGCTGGATACTTTGAAAGGAACAGATTTATTAGGCTAGTTTTAAAGACTGAAAGCTTAAGCTTGGCCAGCTCCCTCTGTTCAGCCTGTGATAAAGGTCCCTGTGGCTCGGTCACAGCATGGCAGAAAGGGAAAAAGGAAACTCAGAGAGGTCAAGTGTTTGGGGGACACTTGCAGGGTAACAGATTACTCTTGTGAGCATTGACTGGGGTCCTATGAGACCACATTTATCCCTTCCAAAGGCACCCCAGTGACCCAAATACTAGCTCCCAATAGGTAAGGATTCAACCACCTTGACACGGCTACCCCAAGACCAAACTTCAGCTCATGAGCACCTGAGGGACATACTGAGCCATACTCACACTATGGCTCCCAGTCAGTTAACTTTCAAGGAGACTTTAAAACTAGGAAAATTCTGAGTTTTTTATGAATTTAACGGTTGTGGTGGTCTGTAATTTGTAGGTATCCAGATTTCCATACAAAGTTATTTCCTTTAGTAGCTTCCTTTAGGATTCCTATAGGACAGGTCTGCTTGTGTTTAGTTTGCCCTTGCATGTCTGAAAGAATCTTTGTTTTGTTTTTCTTTGTTTATTTGTTTTGTTTTTTGAAACAGTCCAGGCTAGCCTTGAAATCAAAGTGATCTTCCTGCCTCAGCCTCCAAGCATTGGGATTACAGGAATGTGCCACCATGCCCAGGCTCTCTTTTGTTTTTGAAACATATTTTTCTTGAATATGGCCCCTTTTGTTTCAGTACTTTAAAGATATCTTGCAGCTTGCTTTGTTTCTGAAGTAAAATTTGCCATCATCCTTATATTTGATCTTGTATTTGTGTGGTATTTTTTTCCTTTGGATGCTTTTAAGATTTTTATCACTGGCCATCAGTAGTTTGATGTTAAAGGACTTGGTATGGTGGCCTTCATATTTTCTCTGCTTAGGGTTCATTCAATATCTTGGAAAAGTCACCAGTACTCTATTCATGTTTGTTCAAATTTTTTTTCTCTTTATTTCACTTTGGATAGTACTAATCCTATAGTTTCATGATCATTAATAATTTCTTTTACATTGATATGCATTTGGCAATATCTAGGATACTTTGCCTTTCATAAATGTAGTCTTTGTACCTATAATACTTTTCCCATCATGCTTATGCTTTTTCAACTTCTTGAACTTGTAGAGTACATTTAAAACAGGGTTTAATCTCCAGCGCTGCAAAATAACTACATAGACAAATAAACTTCAAAAATAAAAAAGATAGCTGCGACATGCTCATACACTAATTTAATAATGTGTGTTATCTCTTACATTTGTTTTTTCTTCTCACTGTGGACATTTTCCTACCTTTGGCATGCTTGGTGATTTGGGGTGGGAGACCATGTTGTTGCATGCCGTGTTTAAGTATTTTAGATGTTCTTAGCTTACTGACCAATACTTACATTTTTTCAAGACTTCTAGCACTGTGGGTTTTTTTTTTTTTTTTTTCAGACAGGATCTCCCTGTGTCGTTTCTACTGATCATAAACTCACTGTGTAGGCCAGGCTGGCCTTGAACTTGTGGCAATCCTCCTGTCTCAGCTTCCGAGTGCTGGGGTTACAGGTGTACACCAAAGGCCATGGTTCTGAGAGAGCAATGATTTTGTTCCACAGAGGATATTAGTAATGTATGAAGACATTAATCGCTGTCATATTTAGGAAGTGCTACTGGCATGTAGTGGGTAGAAGTAGGAAGGCTGTTTAACTCTCAGTAATGCCCACAACAGTCCTCCACAACAAGAATTATCTGGCCCCACATGTCAGTAATAACCCACTCTCGGGCTATTTTGGTACCACTAGGAAGGCAACTCACAGTCACTTGACGGCCCTTCTAAACATCCCATGTGTTTGGGAGGACTTGCCATTCCGGCTGGTGGGGACAAAAAGGACATCCAGTTTTACATACTTTTTAGGGATTTTCTAAGTGGTCCTTTTCACTGGTCTTTGCACATCAATGAGAAGCACTCATGCACTGGCCATAGGGCAGCTTTGCTTTCAGACTTGAGAGCCCTCTGGAGCCTGCATTGCTGGCCAGCCCCTCTTGTCCACTTCTCTTCTGTACTCAGCCCCGCTAATTTAGTCCCCTTGCATTTCCTGACTCTCCACTGTGTCTCTGCAGCCCAGTAATACTTCCAGGCCTCTTGGCTTTCTTCCATATGATGCAGCCCAGAAACTCTGCCTGTGGACAGCCAGAACAGTTTTTAGGACTTTGATCTTGTCCTGTCTTCATTGTTTACTGTGCACTGCCTGCCTCATGTCATAAAACCATTTCAAGCTGGCCTGGTGGTGCAGGCCTGCCGTCCCGCCTCGCTGGATGGTGCAGCAGAAGGGTCACATGTTTACCCCCAGCCTCAACAACTCAGCTCCTTAGCAAGACCCTGTTTCAAAACATTAAAAAATGCCCAAAAAAGAAAAGTAGGCTGGTTTTTTCTTTTTAAAAAAGTAACAGGGTTGCCAGATGTGGTGGCACATTGCTTTGATCCCAGCACTTAAGAGGCTGAAGCAGGAAGTCAGCATGGGTTATAAAGTGAGTTCAAAACCAATCTGAACTGCATAGTGACACTCATCTCAAAAAGGCAAAAAAAAAAAAAAAAAAAGAATCAATACAGCTGCTTTTACTTCATCATGGCCCAAAGCAGGAATTCTAGGTTTATTCTTTCAACAAGAATTTGCCCTGTTTTGTTTTGATTTTGAGAGAGAATCTTGCTAAATTGCCCAGGTTAGGCTTGAATTTGGAATCCCTTGCCTCACCCTTGCAAGGGCTAGGATTACAGCTGTGTACCACCACTCCCAGCTGTACTCATCTTTTTTTTATGTACTAAGTATTGGAGAAAAATGCTGAACAAAAGCAATGAGGGTCAAGCTCTTATACCAGTGGGAGAGAAAAACTAAATAAAAACCCTGAAACAGTGACGAGTTCTGCATCCATGATGCTGGATGGTAGGAGGAGTTTCGGGGAGTGGTGTGCACGTCACATTTGGTTGGGGAAATCCTTCATGAGGAAGTAATGCACAAACTGTGGCTGGAGTTAAGATGTCCAGGGTAAAGCTCGCTGACCACAAAATCTTGGGTGGAGATTACTGCCCTTTAAAGGCAGGAAAGAATAAGCAGCTAATGCCTGGGATGTCCGTGAAAAATTCCTGCGTTTATAGAGTAGAGTGACTTGCAGTGGAAAAGACCAAGGAAAGCCGGTGGTGAGGCAGAAGTGAGTGTGAAGAAACAAGGTATCTGTGCTGCTCTGCTGCAACAAATACCAGAGACAGGATGGTTAAGCCCAAAAGTGGTTTTCTTAGTTCTGCAGGCTGGAAAGTAAAAGACCAGGGACCAGCAGTCTCGTTTCTGGTGGTGGTTCTCGTCCTGGCACGCTGAAGAGCTGCCTTCTCACTGTCCCGAGATGGCCGAGGACACTGGTGTCTGCTGCTCCTCAGAGGACTCCAGGCCTGTCAGATTAAAGTTCCACCCTTAGGTCTTTACCTTAATTACCTCCTAAAGGCCCTGTCCAAATACAGTCACATGGGGAGTGATAGCCCCGACAGATAGCAGATGGGAGGGGTGGAGGGACACAAGTCCACAGCAAAGGAAGTGGCAGCAGGATTGAATGATTAAGAACTAAAGATCATGGAGTTTTTCACTGTGTCTGCACTGGTGATTTCAGTAAGTGCCATTTTCATTGAGCTTCAGCTAGAAGCAGCCTGTAGTTTTAAGGAGTGTGAAGGTAAGGAAAAAAAAAAACAAGTGTAGGGTGACTCATTAATCTAGCTCTATTAAATTTAAAGAAGATGGAAGGCTTGTTCAAGATTGAGATCTTGGGGCTGGGGATTTAGCTCAATGGCATAAGCGCCTTCCTTGCAAGTGTGCGGTCATGAGTTCGATCCCTGGTACCGATAAAAACGAAAATGACAAAAAAAAAAAAAAAAGATTGAGATCTTGCCCTTGTTCGAACATCATGATGAGGATCCACTTGACGCTGGCCAGTCGGTTACTTATCCCTCCAACCATACTGACTTAAGACTTGCAAAACTTTTTACCTTAAATGAGCATTTGTTCTATTTGAGAGTCTGTGGCTGGCAGTTAGGGTTTGGGTGTTGATTCTGTCTGTGCTCCCTCACTGTCTGGGTGTTAGCTGGCTGCCAGATGGTCAGGCGCTTCTCACCTCAACCCGGCAAGTCAGCCTAAGCAGTTTCCAGGCTTCAGCTTTTATCACGTATGCTGACAGCCCTCTGGCTAAAGCCCATCACATGGTAAAGCAGAATAGTACAGTTAGGCCAAAGGAGGTGAATTTTAGGGATGAGTGAAGAACTGGAGTAATTAGTGTGATCAGTTTACTGCAGACGACATGTCCAAACAAGAAATAAAAAGTGTGACCATCATTCATCTACTGCTAAGAAGGAAGATGGGAACAGGATCCAAAATGCTCGCAAGTCAACTCAGGTTCTTGGGCGTCTACTACTGGTTGGTACTAAAAGTATCAGTTGCTAATTGCTTTACATTTACATTGGTAAAATTTACTTCATTCTTTTTTATAAATGTAGCTGAGTTACATACCTGTTGGGTACTGGAATACTTGTCATACTACTTGAGACACAAGTCAGCTTGCTACACTAATTTAATACACAAGTTCATTAAACAGCTCAGGAAAAGTGCTTCTGGCCAAGGGTCATTTCTACATTGCATAGCAGTGCAAACTATTCATTGACTTCTGGAAATGACTGGTTTTGTGCCCTTGATCTAAACTGTTTTTCCATTTATGATGTTTTCTTGTGAATTCCTGATTATCATGGTTTACCCTACTAGTCACATCAGTTGCCAGGTACATACTAAGTATATATATGGGTTTCTGTACCAATTTTTGTATCTTTAAATTGAAATTTTTTGGGGGGATGACATTTTTTGAGACAAAGTTTCACTATGCAGTTTGGGCTGGGCTTGAACTCACTTTGTAGACCAGGGTAGCCTCAAACTCATGGTGATCTTCCTGCCTCAGCCACCCAAGTGCTAGGATTACAGATGTACACCACCACATCTGTATTTATATTGAAATTTAATGTAAAATTTTCCTAAAACTAGCCAAAGCAAATTACAAATCTAGGTTTGCCATAGTCCATTTTGTGTAACTAACAAAATGCCTGAAGCTGAATAGTCTGTAAAGAAGAGAGGCTTTTACTTTGCAGTTCTGGAGGGTTGGTACCTTGATGGCAGCACGGATTTCTACTCAGGTGGGAGCATACACGAGAGAGAGACACAGAGAGAAAGAGACAGAGAGAAGAAAGGAGGGAGAGAGGTAGACTGGGGAGGAGCCAACCTTGATAACAGTAGTGATCGGGCCTCTTTTACAACTTGCAGCGATACAGGATACAGCCCCACTGCACACAGGCTACTGTGCACAGTTCCACCATTACTACTATATAGCAACCTGCTCTGACCAGAACACTCCTCCGAGACCCAGCCCACGTGCAGACTGGCACCAGCCCTCCCTAAGGCAGTCATGACCCCCTGGCTACCTCTAGGCCCTGCCTCTGAGATGTTCTGTTAAGACTGTTAAGTGGGCGTGAGCTTTTGGCACATGCGCCCTAGGAGGCAAACCATTTGTTTGACCATGGCATGAATTCTACTCCAGGTCTAATGGGCTTCTAAGGATTCTTTTTCTACTCCTTCAAATAATCATAAGTCAGAGAAAAATATATAACCTGCTTAATCTACTGAGTCTTCAAATTCAGTATCCTGATTGTGTCTGTCTTTAAAAATGGAGGTTAAATCAAATTTTTAAAAAGAAAGGAAAAAAAACTGTAATCGCTTAGCAGTTTGCCAAGAAGAGAAAAATTTACTCAAATTTAAGCATTCGTAGTCACAAAGGCAACTTTGTTTACCTGGCTAGATCCTAATGGCCTTTTACATCTGACCCTCTATAAGCCCAGAGATTAAAATTTATTACATCATTTGTCTACACAAATTATTAGCTGTATACAAATATGCAAACTGTCTAAATGGTAGATACTGCAGAAATAGGCTCTATATATATCTGCCGTATTTTATTTCTAGTAAAAGCACTTGTGCCGTTCTGTGATTGTTTTTTGTTAATACTCCCATAGACTCATTTATTGAGACTGTATTAAAATCCAGTCAGTGGGTCAGAAATGTTACATGCATGTTATTCTCTATGCCAGTTAAACTGACAAAATAATCACATTTAGTCTAAAGTGGCAGCTTCTATTATCTTTGTTCTCCAGTTAAATCGAAGCCTAAAAAAGGTTAAGGAATGTGTATTTAGCTAGATTCAGAATCAGAACTCAGGTTTGTAAACCCTCAGCCCGTTTATGAAAAGCTTCATCCTTTACTGAAGGCCCATTTCAAGTGTTACTCCTCTGGCCTCCCCAGCCTGTAAGCATAGATCTTTCCCTTCTCTGGAGTCCCTCGGGCCTTGCACACTCCTTTTACATGTACTGCGTTCGTTTTTACTTGTGTAGTTTATGAATACCTTTGACCTGTTTGCTTAGTGCACTGCAGCCCTTGTCGACACCAGCACACACCTTCTCAGGTAGGCCTTGGTTAGAGGACTGCAGGAGGAGGGAGAGCCTGCTGGATCCGCACCGCCACCCGTAGAACTGAAGGCTCGCTTGCCATAGTCCAGCAAATCAGTGACCGTTTTTCTAACTTGTTACTGGGAATTTACCTGTCCACTTTGTGGAAGTTCCCCCTCATCCCGTATTGTAAACCTAAATAAAAGAGTTTTGTATTGTAATCTTCTTTTTAGCTTTGCTCACAATGTAAAAAGTTATATTTGTAATCCCAATGAGACGTTATTGGAATCCCAGCCGGTCAATTTTAATCTACCACCACCAATGCAACCCACAGTGAGAGTAAAGACACCAAGACATATTCCAAGTTAAGGGGACGCAAGTCCATTTCCCATGAGGACATGTGGCCAAAGGCCTCGATCCTAGGCCTTTCCCAGCATTTATTCTCTTGTGAAGAAAGGGGGGGGGGCAGGTCACTCAGGGATGAGTGATAGTGAGGATGTCAGGGATTACTGCATAACGAGCTGGCTGGCCAGGTGTAAGGATGGCATCTCTGTAATTTGCAGAGATAAAGACATGCAGAAGCATCAGTTTACATAACCTGATTAAGGTAACAGTGGAATTGTTTTGGGGAGCTGTTGCTTCGGTTTCTGATGTGCAAACTCTTGTGCCCTGAGGAGTCATATCCTCTTGAGGCTCACCCAGCTGACATTCCCGGAGCCAATTGCTCTACATCTCGCCAGCTCAATCCTGCATTGCGGAGAGCTCCAAGCGAGGAAACAGGACTGTCTGATGGCCAGACTTTGCACATTAGCACCTCGGCTAGCCTTATTTGCAATGCTTAGAGCCAATTGAAGAGAGAAAGAAATACTCTAGCCAGCCTTTCACATATCAGTATCAGGAAATGAGTCTCCAAGTAATCAAAGTCACAGCAATTGTTTTGGATTCAAAGGGAGTCACTGGAGTTGCTTCCCACGATCCCGCTTTGTATGTTTAACAACCTTACTGTATTTGGATCGGTTTGTGGACCACAGTCTACAGAACAGAGCTAAGATATATTTTTATTCAGCAAATTTCTACTGGTTCAACATGTAGAAGACACTTCCCTAGAAAAGTAAATCACCATCTAGAACTTAGAGTTAAATAGATGAATTCAGATGTAACAGTGCCATTTACATCACGGTAACTACTCTGCACATCCTGAGCCCAAGTCCACTTCATCCGTGCATGTAACATGGTGACTTGCTTCTCCCTTTGAGGAGGGACTGGTGTGCCCTGAAACCTCCTGACCCAAAATGTTAGTCGACGTTACAACTGTTCTTTTGGCCTTAACAACTGAAGCAGCAGCTCCTTTTAGCTATTGGTGTGGAAAACCCACAAACGCTAAGCACGTGGCTCTCTTGGCTGGGGTTATGGCTGTGGCCCTTAGGATTTTGTCTTATACTTTATGCTGCACACTTGCCCACATCTCACATGGTCTTTTCATGAGGCATCATGACAGGATCACAACCCAGGGGTTAGGAGGCACACAGTGACATGCTATAGACCCTAAAGGCCTCCGCTTACTGGTTGTGTGATTGGTAAGTCATTTTAGTTCTTGGTGTTCAGTAGGTGGTGCTTAGGTGCTTGAATGAGGTTATATTTTTAAGAGGCTTTTTAGTACAATTCCTGATATGTAGCAGTTCTTCTGCAAGTGATGTTTTCAGACCTGTGTGGATCATATCAAAATTTGTTTTCTTGCAAATTAGCTAACATTGAAGTTTACTGTCTCTGGTGACAGAAATGAGCCATCACATATCTTCAGTGATAAGTAGAACATCAGTTATTAGCTAGACACATTAAACTTGCATTTTTTGTTAAAATTGGAATTAGTAATCACTTCAAGTAGCTAATGATAATTGGATTCATGTGACCTCCAGGTGTCCCCCTTCTGTCCGCTACAGATGTGTGTACTCAACCAGCTTCCCCTCAGAAGGTGGAAGCAGGAGAGCTGAGAACGGCCCTGGGCCTCTGGGCACCATTTGCCATCTCTCCTGCCTGCGTTACCAGCACCCTCCGCTAGGGTGCCTAGTGTGATAAGGACAGGAAAGCCCAGTGTGGCAGGCGGCTGTGCCTGCACATCTTCCTCCCCTCCGCACACTGTGCAAGGCTCCATAGCCCTGTGTTTATACACAGTTCCTTGGGTGTAAAGCATATTGACTGGCTTTTCTTGTATCATGACAATGCTGTAAGGTCAGCAGGGAAACAGTCTCCCATGTTTTTCCTACAGGTGAAGGAAGAGAGACTAGAGGATATTAAGGTTAATATCATCAAAACGAGGTCAGCTGTATCGTAATTCCCTTTTTACTATCAAGTAGCATTGTGTTTACCAGCCCTACTGCTGACTGTTCATCTCAATTCAGGATATAAATAGCTGAATACTCTTTCTCACATAAATATGGTATATTTGCTTTCTAATCATGACATAAAATCATGAAGTGAAAGATTGGTACATCTGATGCCATAATATTTAGAATGTGTTCAAAATTACCATAAGCAGAAATGAAGTATGTACTAACAAGCTGGTCTGGATAGGAGGGAGTGGGATTGCAAAACAGAATAGAACAAAGGATTAATTTTTGCAACTACATAACAAGGAAAGGATCATCATCCCAACTGGCAAAGAACACAGAAAAAGCCGGATACAGTGGGGCATGCCTATAATCTCAGTGCCTTGGGAGGCTGAGGCAGGAAGATCACAAGTTTGATGCCAGCCTGGGCAGTTTAATGAAGTGCTGTGTCAAAATGAAGAATGAATGCATGAGTGAGTGGGTGAATGAACGAGTGAAATAAGTCTGGAGATGTAGTTCAGTGGCAGAATGCTTCCCTAGCATGCACAGGGCCTGCACTCGGTACCACTACCAAAAAGAAGTGAGTGACGGGTGGCCATTTTAAGAGAAATGTGAATAAAACAATATTAGCCACTTTTTTTAACCCCACAGATTTTCAACAATCTGCAACTTTTATTATTCTCCTTTACTGGTTAGAGCACAAGAACATTTTCACACGTCATTCATTGGTCAGTGTAAAATGCTGCCTTGTTGGTAATGCAGTGGTCACACTCCAGCCACGGTTTTGCTTTGCAGTTTGTTACCCAGAGTCATTTGTGGCCCCACGAAATAATATGGAATCGTTCAGAAGGGAGCAGTGCTAAGCGCTGAGTTGCAAGCCCCTCCGAGGGTGAGTGAAGTCTCACTCCAGCCCTGTGGCGCCCAGGCGCCCAGCTCCCCTTTGGTGCACGCACCGCCTATGCGCCCCGCCCTTAGTCAGGTAGACGTCCATGCTGTTACCACTGTAACAGCTCTGCTTCACAGAGCTGCTGTTCACCTCTTCCTGTACTTACTGCACAAAAGTCATAAGTCTATATAAAGTTTTAGAGTACACTAGATTCTGTAACCTGTGTCCTGCTACAAATAAGGAAACTACTGTATCTGTCAAAATCATTAAAGAACATTTTGAGTCAACTATTGGATACATCAACTTTACAGGTATACTGACACATTAGTAAACATTGGACATATTTAGCTTCTTTGTGATTTGTTTTTTGAGACAGGGTCTTGCTTTGTAGAACAGGCTGGCCTTGAACTCAGTTTGTAGCTCAGGCTGGCCTCAGACTTTAGGCAGTCCTCCTGCCTCAGCCTCCCAAGTGCTGAGATTACAAGTGTGTGTTACATGCCCAGCTATATCGTTGCTTTTTTAAAGAAAAGATTAAAATAGCTGCTCTATCCATGGAGACTGGGATACATTTTGATATAGCCATGGAGAATTTTCTGTAGCTGTTAGAAATACTCATTGTACAGATACATAACAATACCTAAAGTACATTTTCTAAAAAGATGCATACAGAACTTACGTATACAGAAGTGGGTAGGGGAAGGAGATAGTCAAAATACACAGTGTGTGTGCAGATGAGAGTGACAAGAGGTTGTTCAGAAGAGGGATGAGCGATGGTAGACCTCCTTTCCTGGTAACATTTGTACAGATTGTGGCAATTTTGTTAAATGTATTACCAACTTTAAAACATGGAAAAGACAAAAATATTGTTAAGCAAAAGGGAGAAACATTAATCTTTCACTGAGAATCAATATATACCATATGTATATAACATTAACCTAACTACTAAGTTTGAACTTACAAATGTGAAGGAATACTTACTAACATTTCCTCTATAGATTGCAAACTTTGAAATCATGGCCTAACCTTCCTCATCTTGTGTGGCGGAAGTACTTATGGCATGCTGTTCATTTCACTGACTCTGGAGAGGTCCTCTTAATTGCTAATCAGAGAATCAGGTTCCACTTCCAGTCCACATACATCTGGACTTAGGATATCCCGAAAAAGAGCAGGTTTGTGTTCTGTACGTTAGCCTCCCTCTTTTAAACAAAAGGCCAAAAAAAATGTCTTCTAGTCCCAATGTTCTAACACCTTTGATTCCCGCCCCACACGAAACAGCTCTTATTGTTAATTTTCTACAGATCCATAATGCCCCAGCTTACTTGTTTAAGTGCATATGAATTAAACATGTTAATCTGTACATTAACAGTAACATTTAGTTCTTTCAAAACTGATACTTTAGCTAGGCCTGGTGCCACACACCTGTCTTCTCAGCACTCAGGAGGCTGAGGCAGGAGGACTACCTTGAGTATGAGGCCAGCCTGCGTTACACAGTGAGACCCTGTTGCAAAAATAAATAAATACTGATTATTTTCTTCCTATATGTATGTGCAGTTGTGTCCATCCCTGAGGTCTGTGGACCCCAAGCTGGAAGTTAACATTTTTAAAGAACTGCCAAGCTGGAATTAAAGGACCCCATTTTTAAAGGACCCCAAGCTGGAAGTTAACATTTTTAAAGAACTGCCTTAAATATTGAATGGGAGAGCCGAGGATAGAGCTCAGTGGCACAGTGCCTGCCTGGAAAATCTGAGGTCCTGAGTTTGATTCCCGGTACTAAAATGTATACATACTGAAAGGGAAATGTAGTACTTACTATTTTCAGATGAAATGTTTGTTGTTTTGTGTTCTTTTTAATACTTGATATGCTTACCTGGTAACCTATTTTGATTATGGTGTACTTAATGGTTGCCATGATTTCACAAAAATGTTTATCAAGTGCTTTTTCCTAAAAAATAAATATAACTAACAGTCTTTATAGGAAAGCAAATGCTGCTTCGAGTTTTGCTTTCTA